ATCAAAAAAGTAGAGGACAATAAATGGTGACAAGGATGTGGAGAGACTGGGATGCTCCTGCATTGCTGGTGGGATTGCAAAATGGTCCAACCTCTCTGGAAAGCAATATGGTGCTTCCTCAGAAGGTTGAAAACAGAAATACTTTAGGATCCAGCAATTCCTCTATTTTGTATTTACCCACAAGAAATATGAGCCATTACATAACTACATATATGCACACCAATGTTCATAGCAACACTATTTACACTATTTACACTAGCAAAAAGAGGGAGACAGCCTAAGTGCCCATCAACAGAAGAATGGATAAACAAACTTTGGTATATACACACAATGGAATATTATGCTACCTTGAAGAACAACAAGGAAGCTGTAAGCTATCACATAACATGGAGGAATCTTGAGGACATTATGTTTAGTGAAATTAGTCAATCACAAAAAGGAGAAATACTGCATAGGACCACTACTGTAAAAGACTAAGAAAAATAATCCATACTAAAGGGGCGGGGAGAGTCTTTGCTGGTTACTGGGATGTGGAGGTGGGGTTAGGAGAAGGAGGGAAAGTGGAGCACAGGGTAGGGAACAGACACAGGACAGGGAAGGGGGCAATACACAAGAAGGGAGAGGGGAATGGAAGAACAAGGTGAATGGGAAAACAGGCAGGTTTGCATGGGCTAAAGGGGCAGAAGTAAATAATGATGTATAAACAAACTTGAAACAACAGGGCTCTGGTATACAGGGATTGAAACATGGTTGTAATGGGCAAAAGGGAGGAAATAATGTTAAGACGCTTGGCTGTCTTTTGAATCTTGGTTTCCCTGGAATAAGATTATAAAATAGACACTGGAGGGGGAGAGAAAGGAATAGCCAGAAATAGCACCATAGAAAGCTTGTAAATCCGTCTTTTGCCTATAACTGATTGGAATACCTAAAATGAGGCTACAGTGTGACGAGTGAAGGAGGCTTCCTGTGGAGCCTCTTCATTAGATAAAACCATAGGTGAAATCCTTAACCACATCCAGAATCTTCTGAGGTAGTAAATTTCCATGGTGTTTTCAATAAAAGACATAACAGGAAAAATACAAACCAATAAAGGCAGTGCGAATGATTACTACAAGAGCAAGCAAGGTGCTCGCCCAGGAGACTTTAAGGCCAGAAGAGCTGTGGGATGACATCAAGAACATGATACATGAAAAAAGCAAAAAATCATTAAGAAGACTGGAAAGAAGGAAAAGGTCAAAATGGATGTCAGAAGAGACACTGAAACTTGCTCTCCAGTGTAGAGATGCTAAAGCAAATGGAAGAAATGAGGAGGTACAAGAGCTAAACAGAAAATTCTGAAGATCATTTCAAGAAGACAAAGTCACGTGAAATGTGCCAAGATCTGAAGTTAGAAAACCAAAAGGGAAGAATATCCTCAGCATTTCTCAAGCTGACAGAACTGAAGACAAAAATTCAAGTCTTTAGTCAAAATATTGAAGCACTCCATGGGCAATACATTAAATGATGCAGAAAGCATCAAAAGAACATGGATGGAGATATCTCCAGTAAGATTGCGGACTAGAAAGGCACACTCCATGGATCCTCTACAACAAAGATACCAGAGAAAAAAACTTAGACACAGATGAAAATTCTAACACCCTGAACTTCAGAGGAAAGGTTAGAGAGGTGGATGGAGTGTTTGCTGGGATGAGAGGGCGAGCAGGGAGGATGTGAGACTGACTAGTGAACCGCTGCAGGAACAAACAATCTATGTAGGAAGAAGTACAGTCATTATGCTCCTTTGAATATGTTGCCAGGAAGGACCTCATACTTTGTGTTAAAGACAGGAAGGACCAGTCTCTAGAAAAGCACACCATGCTTGGTAGAGGGTCAGCGCAAAAAAAAAAAAGAAAGACCCCAAGGAGATTGACCCCCAGCAGTGGCAGCAACAGGGGGCTCAAGCATAACAGATATATTTATTATGTAAAATTTATAAAAATCGTGTCCCACCACGACAGTTTTCTGCTCACAAAAACCAAGTAATCATTTGGTGTTCTACGACTTATATTTTTACTATATTTGTCCTACTTAATAAACATGCTATTCTAGGCCTTCCTTTTAAACCAGATAGCAAAGAAACATTAGTTTTCTGCTGGTTTTTCAGTGGCGGATACTTGGTGACGCTGTATAAGCACAGGACTGGTAACGTAGTGGTTAAGAATCGGGCTGCTAACCTCAAAGTCGGCAGTTCGAAACTACCAGCTATTCCGCGGGAGAAAGATGAGGCTTTCTGCTCCCGTAAAGATTTACAGCCTCATAAAGCTGGAGTCGTGGTGTGGCGCTGTGGGTTAATGCGCTAGACTGCAAAGCCATTTGAACTGCAAGGTTGGCGGCTCAAGCTCACCAGTGGCCCCGCGGAAACCCCATACAGGGTCGCTATAGGTCGGAATCGACTCCAAGGCGCTTAACAACAACAGTAACAAATCCCTGTACAGGTTCACTATGAGTCGGAACCGACTCCGCGATACTCAACAACAATAACAACTAACACAAATTCGACTGTTCAAACCCTTCACAGTCGCTCCGGACAGTCGCTCCGGCTGTGAAGATTTACAGCCTCGGTAACCGTAGGAGTCATTACAAGTATGAATCAATTCCATGGCAGTTGGTTTGCGTTTGGGGTTTTTTAGAGGAGATTTAAAGGGTAAGCGGAAAGACAGGTTACACCACAATCGCGTTCGAAAAGGTTTGAACCTTTCTAGTCTTCGTAGAAAGGTCGACGATATCCACTTCCTCGCGTTCTCCTAAGAACCACGGAAATGAAACTAGACCAGACTCCACCCCCAGAGCTACTGGGGCAGCCAATCGGAACGTAGCCCGGGCTGATCGCGTTTTGCGTATCATGGCGGCCTGCAGACGGTGCTGCTCATGCCTCGGGCTCCGGCCCCGACCCTTGGGCAGTGGTCCTCTCGGTCTGCCAGGACGGTCTCGGGTACTTACCCCATTGCAAGTACGAGCATTATGGGGTGAAACGGGGCCTCGAGCTGTCACCGTGGATTTAGGAAGCAGGTAAGCAACGTTGTGCGTTTATTGCCATTTCTCAAGGCTTCCTGTTTGGCCAGTCCAAGTACTTTCATCTCCTGTTGTAGGAATATGACAGCCCAAATTTCTGTCCTCTTTACCCCAAATCTGAAGTTAATAAATTCCTCTCCGAATATGGAGTATGTCTCTTCGGACCCTCCCCTTGCTCTCTTGCTTTCAGCTTCAAGCCCTTTGTTTCTTGATCTCTGTTGTTACTCTGTCCCGGATTTCCCTTCTCCAGCTGAATCTGTCCGCCAGATTTCGATCCTTGTTATTTTCGGGAGGAGCCCTTGAATGTTGCAAATCGTTAACACGCCTGACGGCTGCTAACCTCAAAATAAAACGTTTTTGAGTCCACCTGGTCGGAACAAAGTCCTGGTGATTAACTTCCCAAAACTCTGCTATCGAAAACCCTACTAAAGCCTGGTTCTGCTTTGACACATGGAATTTTGGGACGGGGGATGTAAACCTCTGAACTCTAATGTGGGAAACGTTGACAACTGGTATTAATGTCATCCAGCCCAGTTGATTGCCTAAAAGTGTGACTAGCATGACTCTGGCTAAGAAGAGAAAGCAAACATCACTCTAGTTAAATAACTCACATCTTTTTAAAGGATTTTATAATTAAGACATCAGAGGCTAAAAACCAAGGCTAAGTAACTTTCCCCAAAGTCACAAAGCTAATGCTTTTCTTCCAGGCTTTCCTTATAATTTACTGAGTAACTGACTTTAACCAAGTTACTATGCCACTTTATAATAGTAACAGGATGCTGAACTGGATAAAAGGATCTGAAAACTTTTTTCTGTAATGATATAGATAGTAATTATTAGCCTTTTAAAAACTTAAAAACCAAAATAGTGGATTTCTAAACTAGATAAATTGTAAAATTCTTTCCAGCACTGACATTCTTTCATTCTCATTTTCTCTTCTTCAAGAACTATACATTCTTCTCTGGAGAAATGTTCCAGCACAATTATTTTGCCAAACATGTATGTGCTAGTCATTGGGGACTCAAAAGCAACGAGATGAAGGCCTTCTAAATTTTTCCTGTATGATGGACTTTGAATCCTTCATTTAGTAATCACTCTGGACCTCTTCTATAGTTGTGTCATGTGTTGAAATAGATGTCATGCCTACTGAGTGAAACAATGCTTCCATCTTAGTCTTAAAGTGGTCCTATGTAACATTTACTGAGTAGCAACTATGTTCTAAGCATATGTATATGTATTAAGAAGCTCTCTGGTAGCGTAGTGATTACGAATTGGGCTGCAAACCTTAACGTCAGCAGTTCGAAACTACCAGCTGTTCCACAGGAGAAAGATGAGGCTTTCTGCTCCAATAAAGATTTACAGCCTCGGAAACCCTGTACAGGGTCACTATGGGTTGGAACCAACTCCACGGCACATAACAACAACATCCAGCAGAGAAGCTGATGGGTTTACACTGCTGACCTTGAGGTTTTCAGTCAATGTATAGGAAAAAATATGATCAATTTGTACACTTTACACCAGCTGAGATCATAGGATATATTGGAAAATAACCACATGTTTCTTTGCATACTTTAGATCACAGAAGCATAATATACCTGTAAGCACATACCTGTAAGAAAAACAGTTTGTCTTGGGACAGTCACCCAGGTAGGACCATAGGACTCTCTGGGGCATGACCAGGGACCCTTAAAGGAGAAACTGGGTAGAATTCAACAGAGGGGAAAAAAAAGGTAGAAGAATTTGTTTTTTTAGATAAATGTATAAATGCAAGCAAGCATGTTTGAGAGCACTTGAGGTACTGCAGGCTTGTCTTTTCACTGATGTGATCATTCATCAGTGTAAGTACCTTAACAAGTGTAGCAGCAATTTGTAGGCTTTGTTTGTCAGCCTGTTGGTGTCATTAGGAGGGATGGGCCACTCCATAGATGTTTTTAAGTGTGGTCTAGTCAGTGCTGACCCAGTGCAACCCTGTATAGGGTTTCCAAGGAGTTCCTGGTGAGCTTGAACCTCCATAGACAGTGCTTATGACTATTCATGTTCTCTTCTTTGGTATATTGGTAGTCCTTACATCTAGCTGGGGTCATATTTCATTGGTTTTGACCAATGAAACAGAGTAGACTGAAGGGGTCTCTTATGTGCTGTGGAGTCGGTTCCAATTCATAGCAACCCTGGATGAGGTTTCTGAGGAGCGGCTAGTGAGTTTGAATCACCCATCTTGCAGTTCAAACCAACCTTGAGGTCTAGTGCTTATCCTGAGGCACCACATCACCTTGGAAGAACTTTATTCCAGAGAATCCTACCATGACTCAAAGAACCCATGTTTTACTAACTTCTCTTGATTGTCTCTACAATTTATCTGCACCATTAAAATAGAGCAGTTTACCATTATTGAGACTATGTAACAACTTGCCGTGGTGGGCAATGTCAAAAATGCTGAGATAATATCCCCATTAGTAGAATATCACGCTATAGCTTTCACAGCTATTCTTCCCTTTTTCTTCCCACTTACATCTATTTAGAGATACCTAACTCCTTTCTCAGGAGTCTTGGTGTGGCGCTGTAGGCTAATGCGCCAGACTGCAAAGCCGTTTGAATTGCAAGGTCGGTGGTTCAAGCTGACCAGCTGCTCCTCAGAAACCCTATACAGGGTCACTATGGGTCGGAATCGACTCGGTGGCGGGTGGCACTTAACAACAACAACAACTCCTTTCTCAGGGATCAATTCAGATATTCAGAATTCGCATTAGCTGATAGAGTAACAATTCCTGGTAGACTTGAGAAGTACTGGTAGCATATTGTTGTTGTTGTTGTTGTTGTTATGTGCCGTGGAGTCAGTTCCGACTCATATTGTTAAGTGCCATCAAATTGGTTCCAACTCATAGCAACTTTGTGCACAACTAAAACAAATAATGCCATACTGCCTGCTCATTTGCCATCCTCACAGTTTGTTGTTACATTTGAAGCCATTTTTGTAGCCAATTCTAAGTCAGAATTAAACAAAATTTCAAGACCTCAAATTTACATTTTATTACATAAAACTTATACCTAATTTCAGCTATAAGGTCGCGAGATCTGTATGATACCACTCAGGAGGACTGGTTCTGCACATTTTATTCCCTCTGTCAGTCTACCTCCTATTTCAGTTCCAGCATCCTCTCTGCACCTCAGAGTTCCCATCAGTCAGGAACACCCACTTTTTCTGTTGAGTAACATCTTTCTAGCATCTGTGTTGAACAAGGACATAAAATAAAGTAGAAGTTCTCAGATATTTCCTGCTTTTTAAAAGAAATTTGATTAACATTTCAAGGTCAGAGCTGATGGTATAAAAGCATTGTAGTCATTAATGTATGCGTATCATACGTACATGCTTTGTGCTAACATTCAAATTTCGACAAAAAGGATCTAACTATGAATAGATAATATCTGGCAAAAGCATTTAATGGATGAAAATGCTAAGGGTTGGCCTTTTGCGCTTTTGGCATGTGAAGGCAGAGCAGCTATAATCTTGTTTCAGGACGTTGGTGTATGTGTATTTTTCTATGATAGAATGTGAAAGATCTTCCGAAACCACTTTGATTTCACCTTTGAAACATCCTTTCATGACTTTTAGGCTCTTTTAACAATAAGTTAGGTTTCTTTCAACCACTTGTTAACTTTTTTCCATTTTCTGCAGAAACTGGGAAATAAGCGTGACGATGCTGCCTATTTCATATGTACATGCCTGTCATATGTCATATATGCCAGTATATGAGTCCGTTCCAACTCATAGCGACCCTGTATATGGTTTCCAAAGAGCTGCTGGTGATTTTGAACCACTGAACTTGTGGTATAAACAGACTTTGCGTTCTAGTGCTTTATCCTACAGTGTCACATGAGGACTCCTATCTATCTACCTATCTATCTATCTATCTATCTATCTATCTATCTATCTATCCATCTATCCAGAGAGAGAGAGCCCTGCTGTGGCACTGTGTGTTAATGTGCCAGACTGCAAAGCCATTTGAACTTCAAGGTCGGTGGTTCAAGCTCATCAGCTGCTCCTCGGAAACCCTATACAGGGTCACTGTGGGTTGGAATCAACTCGACAGCACTTAACAATAATATATATATATATATTATATCATACATACATACTTACATACATAAAACGGCTTTATCAAGATCTAATTTATATACCATATAATCCACACATTTTAAACATACAGTTCATTGATTATTCAATAAGTTGTACAATAATCACCATAATTTTGGAACACTTCATGACCACCAGAATAAACCCCAAACTCATTATCAGTCACTTCCGATTTCTTTCCAAACGTCCCAGCCACCAATGACGTAAATCCACTTTCTCTATATACGCGGGTGAGTCAAATTTTGTCCGCACTCTGGTTGTATTAAAATACTGACCATTTCCGAGGCTGAGGACAACACTGAGCATGCATGTGGAATGATTCTGTCGATTAGAGGAGTGTCAGTGGATTATGTGGCAAATTGTTTGCAAATAGCCATGGTTCTGCCTATGGAATAATCTGCAACAGATTCAATACTCTGCCGTTTACTCTCAGGCTCAGAACCAGAATAAAGATAATTTCCATTGAAGATACATTTCTATCAGGAATCTGAAAGTATGAAAACTGCTTATTTTACTACTTATGTTAGGATTCCATTGCTGTTCATGCATTGCATAACTCACAAAGAATTGGACTGCAGAGTATTGAATGGAAATACCCTCAATCGCCAACCAAAACAAAGTTCAAAAGTCAATCATCAGCTGGAAACTTGTTGCTTAGAGTTTTCTGGGATTCTCAAGGGCAGTATTGGAACACTGTCAGGAAAAAGGCTCAACAGTCAACAGTGCTCATTACAGTGAGATGCTCACTGAAGAGCTGAAACCTTAACTTTGGATTAAATCCAGAGGACTACTGTCCAAGGGTGACATGATCATGCATGACAATGCACATCCCTACACCTTTGTCCACATTGTTGACACTGCACAA